TTTAACGTAATTTCATGAAATACTATATTCACAAGTGGATTTGTTGATTTACCACATTTTTTATGTAAAGCGATTAGTCAAGCAAATAAAAAGGGATCTATAACCATTTTCATAATTAATTCACAAAGGAGGTGTTGGTTGAATGCTAACTCAACCATAACATATCATATATTTAAAAACCGAAATTCTCATTAGGCCAGATCACCACATATCAACAGTTGTTAAATCATCATTTTTGTTATTTTTGAGTATGTGCACAAATAAAGGATGGTTGATAGGTTCAATCATTTAAGTCAGTTTGAGGCTAAGATGGCAAGATATCACTTTTTCCTATTCCTCTCAAATTTGAATATCTTCCAGCCTTATAAGTCGGCAGAAATAGTAAACTTAATAAATATGTGATTTGCAAAAAATAATGAGCGATTTTGATGTGTGTACTTCAGCTCTGGCTAGTTTCAGCCCTTCACACGATCAAACAATTTTACAAATGCAGCCAGGGTACACCTTGTCATCTTTGTATTTTCCAGCAAGCTTAAATTGCACATAGGGATTATAGCTTTCACACAACAAACCTTTTGAAAAAATGAGTTTCGAAGGTTTTACTCAAATGTGCGCACAGGTTACAGTGATGGGGAACCTATTTAATATGTGCATTGCTCAGTAGAGCCACAGAGTTTGAACAGATGACGGCCTGACTTGTGCTGTTTGCTCTGACGCAGTCTGAGCTGGCACGGGAGATCACTGTAATCCTTGTCTCCAAAATTGAATTGTGTAGCTTATTTGCAAGTGGCACCGAAATAAACCAATGCGGGCAAGAAGAAATAGATGAAAGATGTGATGCACAATGTACAATCACAGAAAAGAAGCCTTTCATCTGTAAAACATGTATGTACTGTGTCAACAACTACACACAAACCTTCATTTAGTTTGTAAATGACCCGTTTGGTTTTCAAATGATGACACTTAAGATTTGTTTCTTTTTGGGAGTGGATGTCATTGGATTAATTTATGCAAAATAGCAATGTTTTGGAAATTGACATAAATGACTGCACTTCAGAGTCTTGATGTTCTCTCGCTTAATGGCTCACGGAGTAAGTGCTCTCTAAGATTGCACACTGCTCTGTTTGCTGAATAAATAGTGGAATAACAATACAGGCTCTTTTGGAAGGGAATATCTTCATTATGCGTCGTGTCGGTGCAGATCGGGTGTGTGTGTGTAAGATGTCCTGGCATCTGCCTCACCATCACCTTCTATGTACACCGCGCTCATCAACTCCCAACCTTCGTTCCGCTCTGAATGACGCTCTGTGCTGCAATCTTGAATCATCACAGCTTTTTGAAATCCACATCTCTAAAGCAGCTCCTCTGCGTTTCGTGACTGCTCTGCCTCGTTTCTGGTTAGCTGCCATCTCTCCTCAGACTCCGTTCAGTCTGATCTTCTTGCTCCTCCTTCGTCTTTCTTAATCTTCTATGCCCTCGTCCCTCTCAAACGATCCTCTACTCTGTCCATCTTTCTTTTGTATCTTTTCTTTTCCTCTACTTGAGTGTCTCTTTTCGCCTTCTCTAGCAGGGGAGCTAGTGTGACTGCAGTGTGACCTACTTAGCTGTGCTGCTGCTGCTGTTGACTGGCATGGTTGAGAGTTGGCATAGTGATGTACGCAGAGAGGCTCCCATGATGGGCACTGCCAGTGGAAACACCAAGAGACATGGAGAAACCAAGAGCTGTCCAACCACTCAGCTGGCATCTGTGTGTCTCATAACCACCACTCTTGATGTTAATGTCAGGCAAATTACTACTTGAAAGAAAATAATATCATTATGTGCACGGTCTGATTATTTGTCCTCCTGTTTCCAAATAAGGTAAGCCACTTGCTGAAATGACATTGTTTCATTTAGCTTTGCATATTGTTAGATCTTTTGGATAGAAAATGGCAATCTGCGAGACCCATTTGCACGTCCAATCTGTAGGTAGCAATTTCCATTGTCTGTTCAATCAGCCTGGCTATCACTGCTAATGCTAACTGCCCTTTATTCAATCCCAAACAATGCCTCGCTTCTGACAAACACTTGCTTCCGTTTCCTCGAAATAGGTTTTCTAGAAATGAGGTGATTGGAACAGAAAATGTAAAAGCTTTGAGTTGAATCATTTCTCCAAGAGAGAAGCAGCAAATTCAAAGAATAATATGAAAAAGGCTATTCAGCTTTTTCTGAAGATGTATTTCTAAAAAGCCTTGCTAAGTTTATTTTGAAGGTTAATCAAGCATATGCCATTATAGGCAAGAGGTTATTTAGTTTGAATGTGAACATGTATTACTAATAGACACAACTTACTTTTGAACACAAATCAATAATGTACGTAGGCAAGCTAATCTTTAACTTATGTGGTTTTGGACTGAAATCATTATTTTTCTCTTTCTCATACACTAATGATGTTTTCTCTGTCCTGCTTGAAGAACTAGATCAATGAGAACAGTTCATGAAGAGTTGAGCAAGTTGTTCATCTTTGTGACCCATTATTCAGACCTTCATTTGAAAATCTATTCAGTTCCTTTTTGGGACTCACTGATTAGTCCTTTTGGGTGACAAATTGTTAAATCAAAAACTATTCAGCCACTTTTGGACCCAGGCCTGTTTGTTTCTCACAGTTCACACAACCCGCAGTGGGAGTGAACGAGCAACAGCAGGAAGCGAGGATTCATCAAGAAGGAAGAAAACTGTTTTTGTTGTTTCTCTGTACAATGTATCACCTTAATCTCTCCAATCATACACTTCTAAATGCATTCTGCCTTTACAAAAACAGCAGTTAAAACCAGGGGAAGATGAAGGCATCTCAGTGCTGTACTCCACCTGCACAAAGTCCAAAGAACAATCGAGGCACAAGTACATTGTTTCTATGGGAATCCAGAGGAAACTGCAGATAGTGTCGTTTTACAAGATGACGTTGCCTGGTTACTTTACTTTGTTCGTGCATTTGTGTTTGTACATGATTGTATAACAGTGCATATGTGACAAATACAGCTCCCGTGTGATAGGCTAGAGTGCATTTTCCTGTAGCTTCCTCTGTTTGCTGTCCGGCAGGATAGTGTGACCTACTCCAGATGTTGTGCTAATGAGCTGGGAGATTAGTGCCACCATGTGCATTCATTTAGAGTAACAAACGCTTGTTTTTTGTTTGTTTTTCCTCCCTGTAACTACACATCATTTTAAATATGCCACACTCTTGTTCATCTGCACATTTTTCCACATTTGTGGTAACCATATTCATACATGTTTAGCTTTCCCTCTCTCTGCAAACGTTCAGTGAAACCACCTCATTGCACAGCCGTGCAAGTGAATGGAAGAGAATCATTTGCGAGAGGATCCAATTATCCATCTACATGGCCAAGTCATCAGAGACGTTTTATGAACACAACCGCAGATTGTTCCTCCGTAATGCGTCATTTTGATGATCAGCCATTCATCTGTGCATTAGATAAGTAGAGGCACTTGCATGATTGCACTGCATGCAATAAGCAGAGTGGAGGAAGATAGGAATGAGTGCATTTCTTTTCACAAATATGCACGAGTGTTTCTGTGCAAGTATGAGGGAGAAAGATGAATACACACCATATTTTTTTTCAATCAGGAAATGCTTTTGAAACCGTGGGCCTATACAGTAGGTGCTTGTTAATTTAAGGAACATTGTGTTCATACGTAATGAAAAACTATAAGCAGATCACACGGAGTAGAAATGCACTTTTACGTGAGAGCCAAGTCATCACGCCTCAGTGCCCGCAGCTCAGGCTTTACTCCCTGCATGCCTGGTTTCCTAAAGCAGGACTGACTGTCACTATCCATCTATATACCCATTACGCAAGACCCTGCACATAGCTCCACTTTCACTTGCCTGATTAAAAACAGGCTAATTAGCACACTACCATTTCTAAGAAAACAGGGTTCTAATGAGGAAAGCTATGACACATAGTTCAAATACACCGTAAAGGGAGTTGCAAGTGTCGCATCTAACCTCTAGCTACACCGTTTTCTTATTCTTCCTTGATTCCTCCAGAGAGGAAGGGATGCCCTCTGAGTCTAATGAAGGCTCTTTCAAACAGCTGTAGTTTGTCCATAAGACCATGATGGACTGTGCTGCAGCTTAGGTGGTCCGGGGATGCTCTGGAGACTCCTGGCTCCTGATGAATCATCAGCTCGGGGCATGATTGGCTCTGTATGAGTAGTGTTGCCCCACACAGAGCAGTGCAGTCAGCATTAGAAGGGAGATAATGATTCTGTAGCATAATGTGGGTCCTATTTCACCGTAGGGATTTAAAGTTGGGACACTCCAAATGTGCTTTACCTTTGCAGTTGGCACTAGTATGTGTGAGGAGGAGGAGGAGGAGGAGGAGGAGGA